AGAACAATGCTTCGGTCTCTGCACTCTGCAAAATGTCCAGCCAGCTACAGACACAAGTGCTGATGGGGAAGAGATTTGCTTTTGCTCCAGTTAAAATGACAATTGGTGGCTTGGCCCATGATGCAGATAAGACAGGTGGCGAGAATGATGTTCTCTTCCATCTGGTTTACTCTAAGCAAGGGAAGGATTGCTTCAAACTGCTATCTCCTTTTGGTTCCACATGCATTAGTTTTCTTCCCTCACTGTAGACCTGGGGAGGTGACTTGAAAGCCTCAGAGGTGGGTGAGATAGAAGAAACCAGAAATAACAGGGTTTCTCATCCTCTCCTGAGCCAGTCCCTCCTTCAGATTATGGGGTGATTAGTGCAAGGGAGTGAATCAGCTCAGCTGTTGGTCCTCACTAGTGGAAGGAAGCAGGCAGGGAGAAGGTGAAGGAACAGAGTGATGCCAAGCAGGAGCAGTGGGAAGTGGTGGTAAGCCTCTGGGCACACCTGCACTGTGTGGCTGGCTCCAGCTGCCCGGAGCTCACCTCCTCCCCAGCTCTGCCCTGGCTGCTCGCTGCTGCGGCCACGCTTCCCCCGGGGTCGATACATGCTGGGTGAGTCTGCTTAGCTGTGACAGCCAGGCTAATCAGGGTTGATGGCAAGTGTCTGGAGTGAGCTATGGTCACTGGAGCATCTGAAGAGTTTGCCAGGAAGGGCTTCTGGATGCTGCCGGGGTGAGGCAGAGGATTTGCTCTGTGCAAACCCAGGAGAGAGTTCAGCATCTTTGCTTCGTCTTTTGGCTTTGCTCAGCCCTGTGCATCCCTCTGACAGCTCACTCCCCAGCACTTCTCTCACCTTCCTGACGCTTCTCATCCCTGTGATGTGCTTTACCCCTGACATCCACTGCTCTGTTGGAGTAGTGAATGCACCTCTGTTGTGCTTGTGGCTTTGCACCTGCAGGATATCCTACCAGGAGCAGCCTTGCCAGCGAGGTCCCATGGAGCAGACTGCCCCACTCCTTGCCAAAGGGCATGGGGGAGCAGCAGGGAAGCTTTAGCTGAGCATCATATTTTGAGGATCCTTCCTTGGATGTCCACAGCTGATGCAGTTTTGTTTCCTCCTTTCCCCTGGTCTCCTCATGAGGGTGAGTGGGGAAAAGAAAAGGCCTTTCAGAGCCCACACCTGGCACTTGTGAATATTTCATGTTTCTAGCTTTTCTTCCCCTTGGAGAGCAAAACCTTTTCATATTTTATGCCCTGGGAGCCTGTTTGGTTGCTGAATGTTGCTTCATCAATGCTCTCCCTCCCTGCTTTTCCTCCAGACTTCCCAGCTCCTCTTCCTTTCTCTTCTCAGGAACGTCTCCTTTTTTCAGAGGCTGCTTCAGAAAAGGTCATTGTCCCTTTCATATTTCCTCCTTGCTGTGAGTCAATGTGGCTTCTGCTCTGCCAATGGTAAAGGACAAATGGGCTGTGGGGAAAGGCAGCAGTGGGGAGGAGGCCGGGAGATGTGCACGTACACTGCGCAGCAGTTCAGAGAAAGAGATGAGATGTAGGCACAGCGAGAGAAAAATAAAGGGGCAGAGAGGCAGGCAGAGGTGACAAGAAGGTAGGAAGGAGGCAGCAGCAGGACTTTGCTGAAGAAACTGCTTTCCAGCACCTTCCAGAAATTGTCATGCAAGATGCATTAGTGTTGCTGTGGATGGGGGATTGTCCGACGAAGGCCTCTTGGACAAGAGAGGTGTTCCAGTTCTCGAGGGCAGGATGTTCCTAAAGCTGCACTGACAAATATGCCTTCTGCCTGTTTCCATTGCCCTGCAGCTGCTTTAGAGACCTTGTTATCTCAGCCACCAGGGTCTGCAGTAAATCATCACCCTCCATCCTTAGGCTTTTCACCCTTTTTCCCCCACATCTCACGAATCCTTGAGGAACCAGGGAGTGTATGCAACCTGCTCCCAGTCAGGCTGTGTGGACCCCAAAACACACTGCTCTGTGGGTCCTGCCTGAAAAGGTCTCATCCCCTCCTGCTCATGAAAGCATTCACACATCTGGCAGTGAGGGGCCTTCCTTGGAGACCCGCAGCAGATGCCCTAGTGTGGCTGCCAGAACAGTCTGTCCCTTCCTGGGTCTGCGGGACTACGAAGCCCCAGCCGCAGGCACGCCCGCTCAGGACTGCCAGCTCAGGACAGGATGGGGAGGCTGCAAGGGCTTCCCCCAAAAGAGCCTAGAGGGGCTGGCACAGGAGGGGCACTGCCAAAATGCCATAGCAGAGGACAGGGCTCAGGGACTTTGGTATGAGTAATTGCAGGGAGTACAGCGCAGGCAGCAACAGAGAGAACAAAGGTACTGAGCTTGTATTTACACAGTGCCTTTCATCCCTATGCGAGTAGCAGCTGAAATACCTACACAACTGGGTGAACTCAGCAGAGGAGGTCCGTTTTGTTTCCTGAGGGAAAACTGATGCCTCTGGTGAAAAATGTGTTCCCAGAGCAGTTGCTTTGTGGTTTAGGGCAGGAAGTAAGAGAGGCTTTGCACAAAGTGAAGTGATAGACTCTTCTTAGAGGCGGTTGGCCCGTAGGAGAATTGCCATTTGGATGGGTGTAGATTCAACGTTCTTGCTTTTGAAATAGCCAATCTCATATTTGCAGGCAGCATGAATGGGCAGAGGTTCAATTAGGGGAGTTTTAAAAAATCAAAATTCGTTTTCATTTGGACTTAGAAATGGAACCCACCAGTGCTGAAATTCTTTGTGATATGGAAAAGATGCCCAACGCCACGCCACCTGCCTGGTGTGGGGCCACCTGCGAGTTCTTGGGCTATGGGCCCAGGTACCCCAGAGGGCCTAGCATGAAGGCAACCACTATGATCCTGGAGCTGTGGATAACACACAATCCTGCACCATCAGTAGCCCCTCTGAGAGTCAGGATGGAGAATGTATGGGCAGGTAGGATGTTTCCAAGAAAAATGTGTGCAAGTTTTGCAAGTCACTTCTCTTCCCTTGGAACATGGGCAAAATAAATTTTTGCAAATTATGACCCAACAAGTGTGTTGTCTGTAACAATTTCTGGTGGGGATATCTGTTCTATCTGTTCTGCGTTTCAGTGTAAGGGCAGTCTCATTCTTCCCATTACCTCTGCTCTGAGATGGAGCCAGCATCAGTTGATCTGAAAAACATCATCCCCTCTTGCAGCACTGCTGGCACAGCTTCCCCTGCCACTTGGCTCTTCCTCTTGTACTGACCAGGACAGTTTATGGGAACTACCAAGCTCATGCTGTGAAGCAGCATTAATACTGGGAACACGCTGCACTGCAGTGAGGGTGTGGCCTTAAAGCCAAAGCATTGTGCAGAGCATTTCTCCAGAGCCTGGCAGGTCACAGGGACAGGCAGCAGGGCACTGTGGCGATGCTGTTGGGCTTTGTGCGGTGACAGAGATCAGAAAGCTATCAGTGACTCATGGCATGTCCACAATCCCCAGCGGGCAGCTGGAGCTGTGCTCCTGCACTGCTGTGTTACTGATGTACTGTCTAGAAACTGCCTTAACTGGTGACTAGCGATACAGCTGGGCAGACAGGCAAGCAGGGCTTAGCTGCTGCTCCACAGCCTGGCCTTAGAGCTAATGCTATAATTCTGTGTCCTTCATGATCCCATGTAGCCATCCTTAAGCATCTTCTCCTTCCTACACATCACCTACCTGCAAATACCACTCTTGTCTCTCCCACCCCCATCCATCCCCAAAACATTCCTTCCTAAGCTAAACCACTTCAATGCCCCATACCAAGTACCCTTCTCCCTCTCCCTGCCTGCACCCCATGCTTGCACGTGCCCCGCAGGAACTGCTTCCCTCCCCTCTCCGCAGCATGAGCAGCCCAGGGAATAGAGATAGAGCATAATGCAGAGCACCGTGTGGCTAATTACTTGATGCTGGGCACACAAGGGGGATTAATTTGTGCCTCAAAGGGCTGTCAGAGAATCCTAATCTCATCTCTTTCCACTGCCATCTGAAATAATGAAGTGGTTATAAATACCTAATTAGCTAATTATTTGCTGGCCTACATGGAACATCTTCAGTAAAGGAACTCCCAGGGCTCTGAGGGGAGGGACCTCCATGGAGGCAAGGAGAGATGACCACATGAGGTGTACACAGGGTTAAAGGCAGTATGGTGATGCTCAGAAGGATTTCTAGACTTTCGCCATCCCTGGAGACATTATCTCCACAGAGAAGCGATCCTCTCCTTACCCCTACTTGTGGCTGTGTGAGCTGAAGATCCAGGAGAAATAAAACCACAGAAAGAATTCATTAGGTAATTAGGAAAGAAAAAAAGAAAAGGCCAGAGGTGCTGTGCTGACAGCATTTCAGGCTGTGCCTGCTACCTGTGTGCTCTAACCCTGCTGGAGATAGAGGACTAGACAAGAAAGGAGAGTGTGGTCTCTGTGACGGTCCCCTGATGAGACTGTCACTGAGAAGACCAATTTATGCCAGTTGTTTGTGTGTGCTGGAGAGATTCATCCTGCTAGGCAGGCTGGCTTTGGGCCGTTGATGCAGTTTTCTCATGGGTTGCAGCATGCAGTCATCAAACTGGGATGACTTTCAGTCCAAGCCATCTGAGAATGGGGCCATTGAGCTGCCATGCACCTTTGGGACAAAGTTTTCACTCCATTGCTCTTATGCAGGAAAGGGGGAGGGAGAGATATTGGTCAGATAGCTGATGGTTCAGTCTCATTCCCTTTTCTTTTTGCTGCTGCAGATGGAGGCCTAGGGTAAGAGATCAGGACATCACAGCAGCTCTGCTGTCTGCCTGTCAGTAGAGTTTAGGATAAGAAAGAGCAATGATCATAAATCTAGCCTGGTTTGGGCAGTAATTAATTTCCAACACTCTGCTTTATCTTCATGTGGCTTTTTTTTTTTTTTTCTCCTAAATTTCCCTTTCTTTTCCCTCTCCTTCTGTTCCTTTTCTCCCTTTATCTCTCCCTGTTCCTCCATCCCACACTTGCTCCTTCTGGCTCTCTTCTCCCCCTGCAGGCATGCGCATCCTTGTGAATTTGCTCCTGGACACCTTGCCCATGCTGGGGAATGTCCTTCTTCTCTGCTTCTTTGTCTTCTTTATCTTCGGCATCATCGGAGTGCAGCTGTGGGCTGGGCTGCTCCGCAACCGCTGCTTCATGGAGGAAAACTTCACAATGTGAGTGCTTGGAGATGATGTCCCCTTTTTTTCTTTTTTTCTTCCAGGGTAATTTCTTTTTGTCCTTCCCTACTCTTTTGTCTTCTGCTGCCTGGCTCTCTGTGTGTCACTTCCTCCAAATGGCTGTAGGGTGATACCATGCAGAGCGTTGGCCACGTCCTGCAGTGATTGGAAAGGGAGGGGAGGGCAAAGGCAGCTGTTTTTTAGTCTGTATTCACAGTCCACAGATGCCTGGGCTCATTTGGATTTGGCTGAGGCACAGGTTAGCTAACTGCCTCTTCCAGTCATGCCCAGGGATTCAAGGTGCTGCTCCTACTCTCAGGAATGGTTGAAACTCTGAAACAACAGCTATGCCATCTTTCTCCTGGACTTGCTCCCTCTTCAAAAAAACAACAAGAAGTCTTATGGAAGGCCATAGAGCTGCCTGATGCTTCCAGGGACATCTTTGGCACCTCCGAGACAGAGCTGAGGTCGCTGTTTGGACAGTAGTGCATTACCTCTGGAGACATTGGAGGAACAGGGGAAAATTACTGGAAAACTTCAGGAGTAGAACTGCACGTGGGAGCCCCTTGGGGAGGGGACGAATGGCTGTTGGGAGAGGTGTCCCACAGCTGGGTTAGTAGAAGCGAGAGCATCTGAAAGCAAAGAATGGCTGCTTGAACAGGACAAAAAACCCATGAGGAAATGTGGGCACAATTCTGGCAAAGAGGGCCTGGACCCACACAGGGGTCAATTACAGGTTTCTGAGGTTTATTTTGGGGAGGTCGGGGGGAGCCTGCAGAGCATGGCTCACCTCCTTCCCAGAGGCAGTAGTGTGGAAAACCTCCTGCCTGCTGTGAACTCTCTGATTACCCTCCTGTGGACCAGAGCACCAGTTCCAGGGCACAGCTCCTTCTGTTGACTTCCTGGCTTTAGCACATCTCAGGCTTTAAAGTGTCTTCTTAAAACCATATACTAATCTCAGGTGTCCTATCAGTGTAGACTGCTTAAAAAACCCTAAAGCTGTAGATCGGTTTAGACTGATTAAACAATTCTGAAGCTTTAGGTCATCTCACATTAGAAAAAAGTAAGTGTGAAAATACAGTCTGCAGAACAGCAGTGGGGTTGGAGAGGAGCTGCTTAAAGCAGCCTGTGTTTATATATTCCTTGGGGAAAAACAAATGTTTAGGATGATTTTCCTTTATGTAAATCAGGATTAGTACTAGTTTAATGAGTGTAATTACATCCATGCAGAGTTGATGTAACTGAGAAGTGAATTGGGGCCACAATATGCAAAGTGACATACTAGAAAAAAATTTGTCTGACCATTACTAGAGAAATGAAGTCTGTAGGCACCCAGTTCACCAGTGATGTGGATGTGTTACGACAGATCTTTGTGGTTTAGTTTCTCTTAGTTTAGAATCAGACTTTCTCTCTTTTCTTTTTCATCAACACCTGTCCTCTTCCAGTGACACTTAGTGAAAAAGTCTGCATTCATGCAATGTGAAAGCTGTGCATTGTAGCACTGCAAGGAATGCACCAGATAAATTTTAATGGAAAATTTGAAATCTCCACATTTCACTTCCCTGATCATTAGCTCATCTCCATCTAGGCAAGCATAGATGATTTTAATTATTCATGGATTTGGAAGGTGTTTGCATTATTTGGAAAAAAGCATGTGAACTTGTCATGAAACATTGCACCCATAATGCCAGCTGTCAAGGAGGAGTCAAAGTTAAGGTTAAGTCAATTTGAACTTTGCATTTCCTGATTTTAAGGCTTAGCTGTGTGACCTTAATTATGCATGAACTGGATTTTATTTTTTTTTAGAAGTACAGAAGGTTCACTGCCAAATGTTATAAAACATGTCCATCAACGGTTACATACATGAGCACATCACAGTAGAGCCTGGTTAACTTCCTTAATATCACTGCATCTGATTTAGCTTTGATGCTCATGGGGAGAGTGATCAGAATGCAAATCTCTGCATTCCAGCTTTTCTTCATTGCTGTGCAAGCAGACTGTATAATTTGGCTTGGGGTGATCTGATGGCAGGCAAAGCTCTGAAAATTGGGGACTCACCCTTGAAATTTCCTGTTTTCCAGGAGCCCTGTCTTCCCTTCCCCTTCCCCTTCCCCTTCCCGCAATAAACCTGGAAATCTCCTACCCAGTGCATCCACTATGTCAGGATGGGAGCTCCCAGCTCCACCGGTGTCTCTGATGGGCAACTGTCTGTTAGAGGAACTTTATGGCTGTGGATTTTTTATCTTTGCAGACAAGGTGACATTGTCCTGCCCCCTTATTACCAACCCGAGGAAGATGATGAGATGCCCTTTATCTGCTCACTGTCAGGAGACAATGGAATTATGGGCTGTCATGAGATACCCCCACTGAAGGAACGGGGCCATGAATGTTGTTTGGACAAGGACGATTATTATTACTACAACTCCGTCCGGCAAGAGTTCAACATCAGTGGCATGTGTGTCAACTGGAACCAGTACTACAACGTGTGCCGTACAGGCAACGCCAACCCACACAAGGGTGCCATCAATTTTGACAACATTGGGTATGCCTGGATTGTGATATTTCAGGTAAGACCAAGTTAGCCTCCTAACAAGGGTCAAGCTATTTTTCTTTTTTTCAATTCAGTCTTTCTGTGATGCTGTGGTGGTTTCTGCAGGGTGTGATATAGCTGCAGAGAGAAACGGGCCTTCTAACTACTCTGGTAAGAAGTACAGAGTGCACAGCATGGATGGTGTTGCTGAAGATGGGGAGGGACATAGAGCTGTTCCAGGCCCTTGCTGAAATGAGCTACACCCTTCAGGCTGAGTTGTACCAGTTTTCCCTTCCCTTTCCGCTATAGCAAAGTAGTCTATTTTACCTTTTTTATTATTATTATTATTTTTTTTTTTAATTCCCAGCACGCGTTGCAGGTGGGAGCTAAAATCTGTGCATTTTTCCATTTCCACCGGCTGTACCTGGTGTCCAGTCCAAGGGGCACAGAAGCCTGCTGCGGGTTTTCCCCCGCTGCGATCCAGGGAAATGAACTATTTTAATGAAATATTTCTGCT